TCAGATCTGTAATTGTCATTTAGCAAAGAGCCTTGGATTTAGCCATCATGCAAACAATCAGACTGGTTACATTGCTGTGGAAAGGGGTGCTATGTAATATTGTCTACCAAATGTATTTTTACTTCAGAGAAAAATGCTAATTAACTGACACCTACTTTTAAAGTTATTGTGAAGCATATGGTGCCCAGTGTGAGATATTTCCAACTGCTAAGATATACCAAGCAAGAAATTAGCAAAGAATAAGCTATGTGGGCAGAGATGGAGTTAGATTCTAGATTAGGAAAAGTTCTTATAATATTTTTTTTGTTCTGTGAATTTTGCCAGTTTCAGAAACAAATGTGCCCCTCCCCCCACCCAGTATATTCACAGAAAACAAGGCCAGAGCGAAAGATCTCTAGAATAAGATAAAACCAAACAATAAATGGGAAAAAAAGAAAATGAAGAAGATGATTCCATTTGTTTCTGTTTTTTAAAAATTGCTATTTATAAACTGATTCCAGTCTGTCCAGGCCTTGGTTAAAAGTTCTGTGAGAGATTTAGAAATTAGGCATCTTGGAATAATATCACCAAATCTAGTACAGACATTAGTTGTTTAAGTAGCAATGTTTACATTTATGGCAGTGAATTACCAAATAATGCATGAAGTCAAATACAGATCTTCAATAACGTGATGTTTTTGATTTACACAAATTCACGCAAATGTGAAATGTGATCCCTGCTTAAAAGTTCCACACCACTTTCGGGTCAAGGAAATTAATAATCTTTTTTTTTTTTTATTGCTAAAACCAAAGATCTGACACCCATTTATTTAAATCATGCAGAAGTTAAGGCCAAAAAGATTTTAAACCACACATTTGGGGGTGGGAGGTTGTTATTGTTATTGAATGTATTTGTATATTGTTTTCAGATTGGCAAAAGACTGAGGCCCAGAAAAGGCGAGAGCAGCTTTTGCTGGATGAACTTGTTATTCTCGTTAATAAACGTGATGCCCTGGTCAGAGATTTGGATGCCCAAGAAAAACAGTAAGTATGATGTGTTCTTTTTTTAAACCCTCTAGAGACATTTTGACTTTTCTGTGAATGGATCTGCTTTGTCTCTATCGTCCGGACAGTAAAAGTTTGAGGAAAGTTCAGTAACAAAGGCAGCATGTTCTCTGGTGATCAAGAGTGAAAAATGAACTCGGGGATTGGTAGTGATGATCCATTTTAAAGAAAATCAGACCATCACTAGAGCCCGATCCTCACACTAATGGTGCTATCACATCTAACTCTAGAGTGGTGCTCAATATCCAAATCCCTTTGGCAAATTAGCCTGTAAAGAAGAACTGTGTGACCTTAGATAGAAAATGGACAATAATTGTATCTTGGGGTTGTTTTTCAGGGCTGAAGAAGAAGATGAACATTTGGAAAGAACTCTTGAACAAAACAAAGGCAAGATGGCCAAGAAAGAAGAGAAATGTGTCCTTCAGTGACTGGCCTTCCTGGAACAGATGCAGCTGCATTTTGTAGTCCAGACCTTTCTTACATTTTTAAAATACTGACCCCAAGACTGAAAAAAACCATATTACACGTCAATATTTCAAAAAAAATAAAACTTTTGCCCTTTCTTTAGGCCAGCTCTATACTGCGTTGTTTTCTGGATTTGTTATTTTTTTCCACTCAAGCAATATTATTCCAAACTAGCTTTGTACTATGATTTATTTGTGAGCTTAGTCATCATGTTGAAATTCCGTTAAATACATTTGCACAGAAACGTTGTGGTGGTGGTGGTGATATCAGAAATGTTTAAGAGAAAAAAATATGTCTGTCTGGATTTCTTTAGCTGGAGGAGGAATGAATTTTGAAATAAATATGTTTTTGTTGTAATAGGATTATAGAGGGGAAAATAGAAAACTAAAATCATGCTGAATGATTTCATCTAGTCCTGCCATATGTAATACTTAATAAGCTGTCTAAATTTTATAGTTAGATCTGACTCAATCCAGTTATTAAAATGTGCTATATTTACCAGTGTTTATTTCAGCAGCGTTTTACATTTTATTGTATGTATAATATACATTTAAGACTGTCTGATTTGCTCAGAGACTAGTTCTTTAACATATGGTTTGAAAAGAGCCTTGTGATCTGAAGATGTGATGTGAGATGGGGCTAATTGAAGTGCATCAGTTTACAGAAACATTTTGTCATTAAAGGCTATGCCATTTTTTATAATTATTTATTACATCTAGTTTTGTTCCCTTCTCCAATTTGTGGGATCTCTGCATTGGCTCCAGAACCTGTTCATATTTATTCTGTACCTATTAAAGTCTGATTTTGCCATTGTGTGCAAACCCCTCCCAGTTCATGTTCCCTTGGCTTACAGCGCTCTCATTTTTGTGAAAACTGTTTATTTATTACAAGACTGAGTCATATATAAATTTTCAATAAAAGCTGAATCTTTCTTACCGTTAACTGCTGCTGTCCTCTCTTCCCAGTGTGAAAAGTTTATTACCTCTGATTGTTTGGAGGGGGAGGGAGCTGGGGAAAGGTTAGTTAAGTTTTAAAATGAATTTGTAAAATATCTGCAAATGCAACAGCTCCCTACCCTGAAACTGAACGGTCTAGCTACCAAAGATTCACCTTCAGACACAAAAATAAGAGTTTTGGGGGGAAATTAAAAAGCAATGGAAGTGATATTTATTTTTAAAACTTTTCCCATTCTCTAAGCAATGTTTGTCCAGGAAGGTTCCAATTTCTCTTTCGGAGGCTGTTCCTGTTCGTATGGAGATTTTGCAAATCGGACCTCTGGTCACTGCTACTTTGTCAAAGATTTTCATAACTCGGAACATTGCATCATTTTCTTCACCTAACGATTCCCTTGCAGTGTCGTGCCTTTCACAGCTCAGTGGGCCAGATCAAAGCCCTTTGTTAACTCAGAGCGCTGCAGTTTTAAAATATATATATAGAGAGAGAGGTAGAACCAAGCCAGACCAAAAGTTCAACTTTTTACGTGGCGTATTCCTGTATTCGCCTGCTCAGCTCATTCCAGCCGCAAACAAACCCTCTTCTGCAAGGGGACCCCTAACAAAAGGAAGTCTGTTCGACAAGTCGGAAGACCTGAAAATAATAATGCAGCAGGCTGATGCTTCAGAGTGTCAGAGAGGTTTTACAAGAAAATATAAATCATGCTTCAGTTGGGAAGGAACAGCCCCGTCGCGCACACAAGAATGCAGCAGCTCCAATCGGCGCCTGCCAAGGCCTGGGGAAAAGTTCCTGTGAAGTTTCTAGGAAGGGACCCAGTGGCTCCGCTTGCACTTGTTGGGAGCTGGCCCTGCAATAGTCCTGTTCGTTAAGAGTCGCCAGAGACCCCGTTTGAAAATTGCCCCGTCCAATCGCTGCCAAATCCAGCCAAGTGGGGCCAGGACTGAGCTTCCCAACTCAGGAGCTGCTCCTGCGGCTGCCGGCGCTGGTGCGTTTCCCGGACCAGTGCAGGGAGAATCCACGATATGTTACCAAATCCACATCGTGAATAATCCGGTTAAAGTGATAACGAGCGCCAGGGTAAATACTAGGGCTCTGGGCTTGGCTCTGCCCGGAATGGGAATCGCTTTCCGAGCTGGTTCATGTGCTCAGTGAATTAAACCTCTTATCTCCTTCGATTAGGGGATGAAATTCGGGCCAGGATCTGTCTCTTTCTCTCTCTCCCCCTCGCCCTTTGACTACATCCCCCCACCACCTCCCGAGGTTTTTTATTATTATTATTATTATTATTTATTTGGTTTTGTTTTCCTCCTGCTGCCGTCCGCCTTTCCAAGCCGCTCTTCGTTTGGGCAGAGACGAGTGGGCCCTTTTTGTTTTAATGTAGGTTAATGCGGTTTATTGGGTCCTAAGAGTCAGATGAGAATTTGTTAATTTGCAGCGAACATCTGTTTACCCTCGCAGCCCCTTTGGCTGTGGGGCTGGGAGCAGGAGCCCGTTCTAATGACACCAGCCCTGGCGGAGTCCTCGCTGCTGTGATTAAAGAGGGAAAAATAAGTTTTGACAGCTGACGTCCTCTTTGGCCTTTTAAAACTTTCCCATTAATTTGCTGATCGCTTCTCAGTTTGGCTTCCCTGAGCAGGTTCTCTGCAATGCGCGGCTCTGGCTACTTCTAGCCAGGCAGCTCCAGGGATGGATTATTCAGCCCTCCCCCGGTTTGGGTTTGAGTTGTGGAGAAGAGGGGGCGCTGGGACTTCCCAGCGGTCTGCAGGCAGCCTGGGCTCAGGGGGTGATGCTTGGACACCGAGTAGAGAACCAACACAATACAATGCAGGCTGCTAGATGCGGCGTTGGCCACTAAGAACGATTGCTGGTTTGGAAGGGGGGAAACGCGCTCCTCAGAAAGAGGAGGAGGGAAATATTGTCAGTCGAGCTTGTTTTCGGTGTCTGGGCCAGCAGTGTTAAACTAGAAGCCTGGCTGTGTATGTTAGTCGCTGGGAGTGAAAGTAAATGCTGGGCTTCTCTCCCGAAGTATTTATAGCTTGGTTCTTTAACTTCCTCTCTGTGGGGCCTGAGCTGCAAAGCAGCCCATCGGGAAGCCCCTCCTGAAAAGCCAAATGCAGTTCCCACCAGCCAGGCTACATGCTATGGGCTTGGGGGGGGGGGTAAAAATGGTGACGCTAAATGCAATGAATGCCCCCAGATTGTCCTAACAGCTGTAGCTCGAGAGGTACTTCGTGTTTCTGGCAGCAGATCGGCACTGTCTGTCGGAAGCGCTCAAGGAACCTGCTTCGGAAAGGAACCTGCCCCAGCCAGTGTCTCAGCCCGCAGACCCCCTCCAGCCTGTCCTGTGCAGAGCGTCAGAGAGACCCGGCTGCAGCCGTGTGAATGGGGAACCCGCCCGCTCCGTGACCTGCTCCAGCACCGGGGAACGGAAGCCCCCCATCCCAAAAAATCCCCTCCCCTCCCCGTGCCCCAGCCAGCCCTGCACCTTGCCCCGAGGGCGGTTGCGGGAAGGGAAGGCAGAGCCGGGCTGCACCTTACCTGTGCGCACAAGCTAGCGCTTCCCCCTGGGTACAAGCAGAGGGAGTCCGAGCTGGGGGCCCTGGGGTCTGGGGCAGAATCCAGGAGCCTTCCGCCGGCGCCCCGTCCCGAGCGGGGCCCTTTGGGGGCACGGCCGGCCCCGTCCAGCGCGGTCCCTGGAGGTGGCTCCTCGCGGGACAGGGCAACCTGGCTCCCCCCCTCCGCCTCCGCCGCCGCTGCTCCTTCTCCGCCAGCGCAGTGTGCGCGCCAGGCGGCAGCCCCGGGTCCTCCGCGCTGCACGCTGCGCCAAACTTTTCTCTCGCTCGCTCGCTCTCTGCCTTGTGCCCCCTGCCTCCCCTTAATCCAGGGCTTTTATGGGCTGAGCGTTCAGAAAATGCGCCTGCAATTTGGGATTAGACAACCACTCTGATTACACTCGCGCTCACAAAAAGGGGCCAGTGCTACTTGATACCTTCGCCCTTCCCGAGCCCGGGTCCCATCCTGTGGCGCTGAGCAGGGGCGCGGGGAGGGCCGGGCGGACACTCCTACGGAGCCGAGCACCCAAATGCTTCGCCTCCATCTGCCCCTGTGCATGGCGAAACCCTCTGGACGAATAACCAGGAGCCGATTAATGGGGGGGGGGGGATATAGCTAATAATATTGTGTTTCTGGCAAGTGGCTCGGTTGGATCTGGCGAGGCTCCCTTTGCCAGGACAAGCGCTTTGGAGATCAGCCCTTCCTGGCTCAAAAACTGGCCCCAAACTCATTGTCTGCCGCGCTGGGACAAAGGCTCAGGTGCCTGGGAGCAGCTGGCCCCCTGGGCGGACAATGGCAAAGGTAGGCCCCCGGGGGAGGGGTGTCCCCAGCCAGGCCTTTTCTCTTTTTTTTTTTTTTTTTTTGAATGGGCTGCGGCGCCTTTGTTCCGCGGAGAAGTGGCCGTGTCGCTGACTTTTGCGGACTATAGAAAGATCTTGTAAACCTCCTTTTCTTTCGTCCGCCCCCCCGCCCCCCTTTGATTAGATGTCCCCTCATCGCCCGAAAAAATGTAATTTCGTTGGGCTGGCGGTCACTTCCTTTGAACATTAGCTCGCTTTCAGCTCCAACTTCAATGAGAAGGAGTTGATTTTGAGAGATCAACAAAAGACCCGCACCGAAGCCTTATTAAAGGTCCTAAGCAGATCTCCTGGACCCTTTGAGAAGCAGTTAAGGAAACAGTGTGCATCCATGATATTCTGTTACCGTATTTTACTGGGACGCCAAAGGAAAGTGTCTCGTGGAAAGACACTTACTTTGATGCCCGGCCGCGTTTAATTTATTTTGCTGGCAACGAGTCGATTTTTTTTTTTTTTTTGCATTTTATTATTTTTACCCCTTTTCAGCTTTCCCTTTGTGTTATTAGACATTCTCCTGGTAAACTACAAAAAGAAGGAGTAATTCTTAGGAGGGGATTAGGGCCCTTCGTTAATATTTATGAGACGGTGCAACTTAAACCTATATATGGATGGGTAATTGTGTGGCCTACAGTTTGGAGAGAAAAGACAAAGTTAATGGTCACCAATGGCCATTTCTGCCACTTCCTTCGTTTTGTGAAAACAATCGGCGCGTTTCCAGTAAAGGTTTTAACCGATTTTCAGCAACGGGCCATTTTAATGTTTCAGAAAGAGGGGGAGAAAAGCCATCCCAGGCCAGGACAATTCGCAGACCCCTTGTCTCCGAGCCTAGGTCCTGCCCACACACAAACGGGAAGGAAAGGTCCCGTTTTAAGCGCCTTGCCAGGGGAAGACCAGCCGTTCCGCCGTCGGGATTATAAACGTCTGTGCACATGTAACGAGTGTGTCAGGCAAGAGCGTACGAAAGACTGGGGGTGCGGGGTGCAAACTTTAGGCGACTGAGTGGGGGTCGCGGAGAAAAAAGCCACGCTCGGGGAGGACTGGGAGGAAATCGCCCCCCATCCCCAGGGGCCGGGTGCGGGGATCTCGCCCCTTTAGACCCTCAGTCCAGGGTTTCTCGCTGTGGGTCCGGGTTCAGCGGGCGCCTGCCCGCGCACATACAACCGGACGCGCACACGCAGCAAGTGAACGTGCAAAAGTTCGCCCCGGGCCCCAGGGCCCGCCGGGGTGCAGGGGGCCGGGGGGGGGGGCGGTCGGCCCCGGGCCTCTGCCCGCCGCCGGCTCTCTGGAGCTCCCCGGGGCTTGGCTCGGGACGGCCCCCGCGCTCGGACGGGCTTTGCCTGGGGCGGGGAGCGGAGCCGGGGCGCCGCGCACGGGGGCGGGGGGCAGAGGCGCCCCGGCCGCGGGCAGAGCCAGCCCTGGGGGAGCCGGCGCGCGCCGCGGGGCCGGGGTGGAGTGGAGCGCCCCGGGGGGGGGGCGGGGAGCGGGGGGGGGGCGTGCGGAGGTAGCCCGCATCCCGCGCTGCCATTGCCCAGGCGGCTGTCAGTCAGGCGCGGGGCGGCCGGGGATTGGCGCCGGGGCTGGTTACGCACTCGCCTCGCGCGCACATACAAGGGTAGGGCCGTGGAAAGGTGATCAATCTCCATCAGGCTACATTGCCAATCACCGGCGCGCCCGGGCCAGACCGCTCCTGCCGCCAGGTAAACGCGCCGGGTCCCGTCCCGGGCTGCCCCGGCCCCCCCGGGCTGCCCCCCCCCGCAGCTCCCGCCGCCAGAAGTTAGCGCTGGGCTGCCGAAGAAAGTACAAGGCGCAGCCCCCGCCCCGAGTGGCAGAGCGGGGCCGGGGGGGGAGCCAGCTGCCAACCCCGGGTCCCGGCGCTGCTGGCCGGGGAGCGGAGCCAGGACCCGCTTCGCGGCGTTGCACTGGGAGCTGCGGGGCAGGTGAGGCGGAGGCGCCCGGCTCCTGCTCGCTCTGCGCCCCGGGACCCGGTGGGGGGGGGAGTTGTGGCGGCGCCCCGGCCCCCTCTGCCCTGCCTGGGACCCCCTGGGAGGAGCCCGGGCTGCCCCCTTCTCCCCGCCAGACTTTGCAACTCCGCTGCGGAGCCCCCGCACCCCGGGCAGCCCGGCAGGGTCCCGCGCGGGGGTGGCGAAGCCCCGCACTTGGATGGTGGGGGGGGGGGGTTGGGGCTGTTTGATTTAAGCTGAAGGTGAGCGCCCCCGCCCCGGCTCGTAGCCTCCTGGAGCGCCTCGCCTCGCCTCACCCCTCCCTGGGATGGTGACACTGCAGGGCTGGCAAACAAACTTACATAATGACTGCACGGGCCAAATCACTCCCGGCTCAGCCCGACGCATCTCCAGAAGCCGCTCTGGCGGCATCTGCTCGGGGGAAAGTGCTGGCTTCTCGGGCCGGGGCAGGCCTGGCCTGGCCTGGCCTAACGTGCTGGCTTCAGTGGTCCATTTCCAAGCCACGGATCCGCTTTCGAGCCCCCTCTCTCTTGCGGCTGGGGCGCCTCTGTTTACACGGAGTAGTCTTAATTCCCTCGGATGGAGAGGCGCGGGTGCTTACAGTTAGGGGGGTCTCCGGGAGGCTAGGTCGGTCTCATTCAACCCCCCCATGGCCTGAAGGGTTAGGATACTTTGCAGTGAGGACTCGGTCGTGTCGGGAAAGAGACTATATGGAGAAGTAACGATAGGCCTCTTTGGAAACCTCCTGTAAACGTATCTGTGCAGTTCGCTTATTCCAATCTGCTAACTCAACCGGATGTATTTAATTTCCACACAGACACTAAAAACGAAAGTAGAGGGGATCCCAGTGTCCAAATGCAACAGGTTAGCCTGGGAGCTGGAGGACAGAGGTGCTGGTGCGGGGTGTGCGTGTCTGTGCGCTTCTGCTTGAAGTGCTTTCCATCCGACACAGAGTTTACACTTTGGTGCATTGGCTCTCAGCACCCCCACGATACAAATTGTTCCAGCACCCCTGGAGGATGCAAATTAATTTGGAAATAGTCTTACCAGCGAAAACAAACAGCCCCCCTCCCCTTTTAATCATTCTGGTGTAAATACAGGAAACTCAGCTGGAGACAACATGGCCCTCAACACAATTAAAGTTTCTAGCTGGTGATTAATCGTGATTAGAGCCGCCGCCATCTGTTGCTGGGTGGATTTAGGATTTTGTTTCTTTGGTTTGTCTCGTCTAATTTTTCTCGCGGGGTAATGAGGGTTCTTGGGCGCCTGTGGGCAGCGGAGAGAGATTCCTGGGTCTGGAGACGGGATCAAGGTTGTGGATTTTACCTGGAGACCTCGCTCCGAGACAAAAACAAATACAGTCCAGCTCCCGGGATCTCCGCGGCCCTGCTGTAAATTCCTTACATCAGGGGAATGCTGGCGAACAGCAAAAACCGAACCCAGAATTCGCAGGAAAGCGGGCGGAGAAGTGTCCGAGTTGGCACTTCTCAGAGCCCTGTAATGGCTCCCAGCAAGGCATGGCAGGAAAGAAACTCTGGCCATTTCTCGTTTTATTTATTTAGAATAAAATCCCTAGTGAGAGACCGTGGAAACCCCCCCCCCCCCACACACACACACGTTGTGCCTTTCGGTAAATTTGTTTCCGTCACCCCTACGGGAGGAACCCCCTGGAATATGAATTTCAAAGTGACTGTAAATCGGTTTGTTTTTTAACTACTCGCCATTTCTAATTAAAATGTCCCCTTCTGCTCGCTCTTAAATTAATTATACGTCCCCCCCTTTTGGTATCTCGTTTTGATTTCTAATCCAATTATCTTTTTAAATAATTGCTTTATCTTCCCCCATCACTTGTATTGTGCCCCCCTCCAAGCCCCACGGCGATTGTATGTTAATGTGACTCTGCTTAAAAAACTATTCCCCCCCCCCCCCAGCTCGACTCTGGTACTTTCTTATTTCACTTCGTTTGGGAGGGGTATGGCCATATTGATTGCCCCCCTCGCCGCCCTCTTCTCTACATGCGCAAAAACTTTAAAACCGTAATAACTGACAACGAAAAGGGGGGGGGGGTGGACTTTCGATTTTATTTGCACGACAGGATTTTTTGGCGCAGAGCGAAATAAAGGCCTGTTTGCAGCGAGCAGGGGGCTTTTCAGGCTGCCCTGCTGTGCGCTTGCGCCTCTCTCTTTGCGCCCCAAACGATTTCATTTAATGCACAAAAAATAGTCCCAACTTCCCTACGCTTTCGATTATTTGCAATCGTTGTTTTTTAAATTGTATTTCTTTGCGCTTGATCTGCACCGCTCTGGTCTGGCTGTAAAACTCCGAATCCCAGCGGTTTGTGTTGTGCCCTGGAAGCAACCTGGCTTGTCGATTCCGCTCCGAAGAGCTGCTGATGTCTGTCTGGTTTTGTGTGTTTTCTTTTTTTGTTTGTTTCTTTTAGGGAGCGGGGAGTCTCTCCAGCGCCCGGATTTTCTGCCATCGCCTGGAAGAACCAATTTTGTGACTTCGAGAAATTTTAGACAGACTTTATATATATATATAATTGGGGAAAATCTTTCCAGCTTTTAGCATGATGTCTTACCTCAAACAGCCCCCCTATGGCATGAATGGGCTGGGGCTGACCGGACCTGCTATGGACCTACTGCATCCCTCGGTGGGCTATCCGGGTGAGCATCAAACCACTTTAATTTCCTTTGCCCCTCTACCAGTCCGGTTACACTGCTCACCTGGGACAAGTTTGTACGAAGTCATTTTTCTCCTGTCTTCTTGCAACGAAGATGAGAACAATGGGATATTTCTTCCACTCCAAGACTGTGCTTTCAAAAATACCCAGAGTACCTTTTGAAAAAAGATTTAAAAGAACAAATCTGCTCGTTAGATCCTTTTTAAAGTAATTTTTACTCTCAAAATTAACGAGGGTGAGAATCAACAGGATTTCAATAGAGAAATCTCCTTCCCCCAACAACTAGTTTTTGTACGATCAGATAAGAAGTTTGAAAAGTTTAAATGTCTCTTTAATTCGTGTGCTTTTTTTAACAGTGGGAAACTCTTTCGAATAGTTAACTTTGTTATTTTAAAAATAATTAATTTAACGAAACTCGTACCCAACTCCACAGAGGTGCTGCACTGTTCCCAGCTCGGCGTGTTCCTAACTTGTGTGTTGTGATTCTCCCCCGCTCGATTTTTTCTTCCCTGGATTGTAATTTAAACACACAAACAAACCCTGAAAACTCCCCTCCGGGGTCTTGTGGAGGCCGCTGTGTAATGGTGTTGTGTACGGATTGGGGGGTCGGGGGGTTCGCAATCCGCTTTGCGTTCCCCGCCGGATTTTGCCTCGTCAGTTTCACTTCGGCCTTAACTTTTGGAGCCCATTTGCTTGCTCGCATTTCCACCCCTGTCTCCCGCCTCTTTAAAAACATCTTTTTTAGGAATCTCCCTTCCCCATCCTAATGCCACGAAACCTGGCTTCTGGGGAGCGTTGAAACGCAACATAAATACACTTGGTATAACTATAGACTGTGCATTTTGCTGGGAGGGAGAGATGGGGGTTGGTAGTTTCTCTGATATTAACCGGTATTTAATTGCCAAATTAGTTTATTTCCCTCCCGGCCCCGCTCCCTAGCACCGGTTTCTTTTCTTTGAATGCTTGGCTGTGAATCCTGCGAACCCCCCGATCTGTAGCAAGGGGCTTGCAGGGCCCGGCTCCGCGCCCCGGCCCGGGAGATTCTGCAGTGGGGGGCCCCCGAGTGCGGGGGTCCGTGTGTCTAATCCGCTTGTTTCTGTCTCTCCCGGGTCCTGCAGCCACCCCGCGGAAGCAGCGGCGGGAGCGCACCACCTTCACCCGCTCGCAGCTCGATGTGCTGGAGGCGCTCTTCGCCAAGACCCGCTACCCGGACATCTTCATGCGAGAGGAGGTGGCGCTGAAGATCAACCTGCCCGAGTCCAGAGTCCAGGTCCGGTACCGTCTCTCCCGCCGCAGGGCCAGCAGCTGCGGGGGGGGGGGGGATAGGGGGAGCCCCAGTGCAAACTACCAGGGATGGGGGAACTTCCTGGGCGCGCCTCCGCTGCCTGCTGCGGGGCCGGGGCACGGCTGGGCTGGGACGCAGGGGCTGCTAACCCGGGTGCCGGAGCCCTGCCTGCCGCACTGTCCAGCCCATCACACACACTCGCACTCCCCCGCCCGGGCCTCCTCTGACGAAGTGCTCCGGCAATGGCCAGCCCAGGGGCTGGGAGGACACGTTCAGGCCCTAGATCCAACAGCCGGAGGGGCAGGGACCTGGCCAGATCCACCTTCGAGCAGCTCCCAGGGCGGCCTGCCCTCCCGGCCCTGCTTCGGGTTGGGGGGGCCCCCAGCCTGAGACCCGCTTCAGCTCCCTGACTGCTGCGGACAGGGACAGGCGAATGCTGGAGCCCCGCACTGGGCTGGCTGTCGGGGGAGCCGAGCCACGGGGCTTGCCCGCCCTTCTGCGCCCCTGGGTTTGCGCGGAAGCTCAGCGCCTCTGGCGGGGAGAGGCGCAGCCCCCGGAGCCGGCCGCGGCCAAGGGGCGTTTGAGGAGCCGGCGTGGATCGTTCAGGCCGAGAGGGGCGATTTTATTCCTGGCTTTTGGAGGCCTTTCCCCCGGCTCTGCTCTCCGGCTGGTCCCAGCCACCCCTTCCGCGCCCTGGAGCCGCTGGCTGCCCCTGCCTGGACTAGGCGGGGAACGCCCCCCCCCCCAACGCTGGCCTCAAGCTCCGCGGCCGCGCAGCGCCCTGCCCGAGGGCGGGGGCGACGGGCGCCGCCCCCCTTTACAATGGGAAATCAGGCCGCGCGGGAGGGAGCCCCACGGGCTGAGGAGCTCGCCAGCCTGCCCAGGGTGTCCCCTCGCCCTGGAAACGCCGGCAGCCTGGGCGCCGGAGCCTGATTTGCGGAATAAAGGCTAATCCTGTCCCCTGCGCCCCCAGCAGCGCGGGCCCCCTGTCTCTCTGCAGGTGGGGGCGGGGGGCAGCCCCGGCCAGGGGGATCCAGCCGCAGTCCACCCTGGACACCCCCCTAGAGCGGCACCATCCCTCCCCGGCATCTCGCCATGGGCCCGCCGGCCAGCCCGGCCCTGGTGACTTTTCCTGGGCGCTCTTTCCTGGCTGCAGCTTCGGGCGTAGGCCCTTGGGGTGGGGTGTGGAGGATGCTTTAAAAACCAGCTCCCGGGCCCGGGTGAGGGGCCAGCCGCGCGCCCGGCCTGGGACACGTGGGTGCGGGGCAAGGGAGGGGGACGGGGGAGCAGAAATGGTCCCTCCGGCCTGGAGGAGGTGGCAGGAGAGGGAGGAAGCGGGGCTGTTACCCGGCCACGGGAGGGCTCCCTGGCGCCGCGTTTGGTCCAGGTGCCAGCACCAGGGCAGGGACAGAGACAAACTCAGCCCCCGAGACTGCAGTGTCCCCCCCCACCGCCACCTCGCAGCTGACAGACACACACCACAGGCCTTCCGGACAGACAGACCCGTCTCTGCAGTGTGGGGCCGGGCTGCCTCTCCCCTTGCAGGCTGGGCGGGGGGAGAGTGAGTCTAGCTCTGTCCTGGGCCCCTAGCCCTGGCTAATGGGTGGGAAGGGGGCCGTGCTCCGCCTCTCTCGCGGGGGGCTGGTTTTTCTGGTAGGCTCAGTGAGGTCCCCTTTGCTGTGCCCCAAGCCCCTGAGCGGGGGGAGGACCACGAGGGGGGGTGCTGGTCACTATGCCCCTGCTCGGTGCTGTCCTAGCCAGGGATCCGGGCTGCTCTGCTGGGGGCTGATCCCATTGGGCCCATTTCTCTGCGGGCTAATGGGGGTGCCCGGCGCTGCAGCTGAGAGTTCTGGTGGTGGGAGCGGGATGCTGGGCCCCTCTCCCTTGAGGAGATGCGTGCTGTGCTGGGGTGGAGCGGAACGGGGCTGGATTGATCAGGACCCAGAACGTGCTGGGGGGGGGATAGCTGGGAGCATTGGGTGCTGTGCCCCTCTTCCTGGGGGACAGTGCGGGGGAGGGAGCGAAGCTGGGTGCTGATCACTCCGTGCTCTCAGCGGGCTGGGGGAGTTAGGTGCTGTGTTGAAAGCTCATTGCTCTGGGGGCTGCGTCGGGGAACGGGTTGAGGTGCTGGTTGGGGAAGAAGGATGCTGGGGCCGAGCGGGGAGTGCTGGGCACTGATGGGGCCGATATGCCTTGTGGGCTGGGGGGCTCTGGAGGATGGAGGGGAGAGCTGGGGATAGTGCATAGGTGGGCTGCCGGGGAATGGGTAGGCTGGGTGCTGGTGGGTTTGTTCTTCCTTGCAGGATGGGTGGGGTATAATGGGGTGGTCCTGGATGCCGAGGGCTTCAGTCTCCTTTGCAGGTGGGGAGCTGGCTGCTCTGCTGCGGGAGGCCAGGGGGAAGCTGGCTGTGCCCTGGGGGAAGCAGGTACTGCTGGGTCTGCTCTCCCTGCTAGCCCCGGGGACGGGTGATGGAGCTGGGTGGTGTGCGGGGTTTAGTTTGGAAGCCGGCTAATGGCGGGGGGATGCGGGTAGTGAGGAAACTCGACGCTAACGTTGTTTTCCCTTGTGGGTGGGGGGTGGGTGCTGGGCATAGGCGCTGGTTGGCAGGGACAGTGGAGGAGCTGGCAGTCAATGGCCTATCCCTCCTTGCAAGAAGGAGGATGGGTCCTGTGAGTGAGTCTTATGGCTGGGGGGTGCAGGGTGGGGCATAGTGTGGGAGCCTGGGGGATGGAGTTGGTGCTCCCGGGACTCACAGCTGGTGGATGGGTGTGGGTGCTGGGAGTTATGGCTAAAGGGTGGTTGGGTGTGGATGGGTGCTGCGGGGGCTTTGTGTCAGTGGATGGGTGCAGGTGCCGGGGGACTGGGCACCAGTGAATTGCTGTGAGCACCCAGGACTGTCTTGCATGCTGGTGGACAGCTTGTGCTGGTAGCTGTCGGGGTACGGGTGGATAGTGCTGGGTGCCAGTGAGTGGCTGTGGGCTGGTGGAAGGCTAGGCATGCCAGGAGCTGTCTGGGGTTCCAGTGGGTGGCTGTGAGTGTTGGTTGGGGTGCTTGGGTGCTGGTGGATGGGTATGGATGCTTGGGGACTGGGTGCCAGTGGCTATGGGTGCTGAGTGAAGTGGGTGCCAGCAGCTGGTTATGGGTAATGGTGGCTGTTCAGGGTGTTGGGGGATGGCTGCGGTGCTAGGGGAAATGGGTGTTGCTGGCTGTTCAGGGTGCCTGGGGGATACCTATGGGTTCTAGAGGAAGTGGCTGTTATGATGCTTGAGGATTGGCTACAGATGCTCGGGGGCTGCGTGCCAGCAGATGGCTATGGGTCCTGGGGGACTGGGTGCCAGGGGCTGGTGCGGGGGGGGACTGGGTGCCAGGGGCTGACTATCTGTGCTGGGGGGACTGGGTGCCAGCAGATGGCTATGGGTCCTGGGGCATTGGGTGCCAGGGGCTGGTTACAGGTGCGGGGGGGGGGGCTGGGTGCCAGGGGCTGGCTATCTGTGCCGGGGGGGGGCTGGGTGCCAGCAGATGGCCACGGGGGCCGGAGGGGCTGGGCGCCAGGGGCTGGCGATGGGGGCTGGGGAAAGTGGGTGCCGGGGGCTGGCTGCTGACAGCTCGCTCTCCCCGCAGGTCTGGTTCAAGAACCGCCGGGCCAAGTGCCGGCAGCAGCAGCAGAGCGGCGGCGGGGCCAAGAGCCGGCCGGCCAAGAAGAAGCCGTCCCCGGCGCGGGAGAGCTCGGGCTCGGAGAGCAGCGGCCAGTTCACGCCCCCCGCCGTCTCCAGCTCCGGCTCGTCCTCCTCCTCCAGCTCCAGCTCCTCGGGCAGCGCGGCGGCGGCGCTGGGCAACCCCGCGGCGGCGGCCGCCTCCATCAGCGCCCCGGCCTCCTCCATCTGGAGCCCGGCCTCCATCTCCCCGGGCGCGGCGCCCTCGGCCGTGTCGGTGCCGGAGCCGCTGCCGCCCGGCGGCGCGTCCTGCATGCAGCGCTCGGTGTCCGGCGCCGCCTCCGCCTCCTACCCGATGTCCTACGGCCAGGGCGGCGGCTACGGGCAGGGCTACCCGGCGGCCCCCTCCTCCTCCTACTTCGGCGGCGTGGAGTGCAGCTCCTACCTGGCGCCCATGCACTCCCACCACCACCCGCACCAGCTCAGCCCCATGGCGCCCTCCTCCATGGCCGGCCACCACCACCACCCGCTGGGCCAGGGATCCGGCCACCACCACCACCATCACCACCACCACCAGGGCTACGGCAGCACGGGGCTGGCCTTCAACTCCCCCGACTGCCTGGACTACAAGGAGCCCGGCGCCGCCTCCTCCTGGAAACTCAACTTCAACTCCCCCGACTGCCTGGACTACAAGGACCAGGCCTCCTGGAGGTTCCAGGTCTTGTAGGCAGCGCCCGGCCCGGCCCGGCTCGGCCCGGCCCGGCTCCCCACTGGCCTTTTGCTACGTGAGAAACAAGGGCCTTCCTCCTGGCCCAGCCTGCGCCCACCGCTGGCCCCGCTGCTCCCTGCTCCGGAGCTGCCGTCGGTGTGTTTCCTTCTCCCGGGCAGGACTGGGTCTCCATGCCCCATGGTCATCATCATTCATCATCCCCGACCAAGAGCCCCCGGCTCAGGGCTGCTGGCTGAGATCTGCTGCTGGACCCTCCCCAGTAACTCCTATTTATTCCTTCTCCGCACCCGGGATTATTCCGTCCGGTGGGTTGATTTTTTTTCACACCAAACACACACACACAGCCCGGAAGAGGACTTCGGGGCGCCTCCCCTCCTCGATTTAAAAAGAAAGGCGCCTTGGAGACACAGACTCCCCCCGCCGGCCGCCCCCCAGGTGTTGGACGACTCAACTCT